ACTTATTTGACATTCACTTTTTATATCCTTCTTGTTGTCCTTTTGACTTTCTTTTACCTGAAGATGGTTGCTGAGAAACCAACAGCTAAAAGTTCCTGACTTTTCAAGGAAGAGAAAAAATAATGGTGACAGTAAGCCAGGAGAAGACAAGGCTGATAGTGGAGGTGGTAATGAGTTTTGTACAGATAAAGGGACAGAATATGAATGATGGGGAGATATTATGCATTTCCGTTGAGACTAGGGAAAAAGGGAAGGTCAAATATAAGAAGGGTGCCCTATGGGCTTAGAGACATAAGAACGATTTTTTTCAGTGGAATAATGTGGCAAAATTTTAGATACTCTGCAAGTTTTTCATAGAATGGTTTAGGTTCAGTACTACCATGAAAAAGAAAGAGCCTTCCAATGACCTTTTTCAGCCCATGATTAAAATTTAGTTTACCAGTTTTCTCATTATCTCTCAAAGTATGTGTAAAATAATGATTCTACCCTAATCTGACTTGGCTCTCTTAGCCTGGGAATTTCTGTTTTACTGTTTCTGTTTTCCTCTGGCCACAGTATTTCATTTTATCATGCAAAAAGTCAAAGGAGATAGATGATCTTTATCGTCTCCTATGCAACAGAGCTACTCACTTCATTTAAAGGGAAATGTGCATTTTCATGGAAATTCAGGCCTGTATTGATGAACTAAGAAAGATAAACTGCCACTATTAAACATAATAGTGATATACAAAAGAAAAAAGTCCTAGAAAACACATTTTAAAAAATAGTAAAATTTACACTGAAAGATAGCATATATAATTTAAGAATATACATACAGCCTAGATATTGGATAAATTAAATTTTCCAAGGACTTGTCACATAATATTTGGATGGTTATAAAGTTGAAAATCCCAGGACAAAGGTTGTGGAAGACAGGTTGAATACATAGGTCTTTGATAAGCATAGTGACTTAATATGAAAAAACTAATTAGCTCAGTGCCTTTTTATAAGTAGACATTAGTCATCTAATAAACATTTTTCAGTGGACATGTTAAGAAATGTCATAGGTTAGGTGTGATATCATTTTCCATGCTCTTTTCTTTTAATGTGACTATTTTGGGGTTCACTTTTTAATAACACATTTAAGAAATACTTAATGATTATATTATATTTCTCCCAACTGGAAACCTGGAAAGCATTCTTAACTATTTCTTTGCCAAAAAACATGGAGGCCTTGCAGATTTTTCCTCAGCAATGAATTGTGAATCTAGTCATCCTTCTCTATTGCTACTCTCAGTGCCTTAACGGGACCTGATATCTTTCATCCAACAATTATCAAGACTTGATATCTTGTCTCTCTTTCCCATCTTCCCCACAACACTCCCCCCTCTGTACAGCATCCACATTTCCCCTTAAGTCCTTTAATTTACACTTCCAAGGGGAACAGGAATATCTAATGCACACAGGTGATAAGGAAATGGAATTTGAGAAGAAACAATCAAATGGGTGGGGAAAAAATTAAGAATATGATGCAACCAGAGGAAAGTATTGACAGTAAAAATTTGGGCAAATAAACAGTTGTGCAATTATGTTGATGAGGTTCAGGGCGGGCTGCCCCAGAAGGTGCCACTTTGGCACGAGGAGTATTTTGAACCGTAGATAATCGAGGCCCAACAGATGCGAGGAGAGCTTTATACCACCCTCTTAACTGCCTAAAACCACTTAGATAGAGGGTCTGGTCCAGGAAGAGAGCTAACATCAAAGATAATTACAAAGACTGAGAGTTAGGTGCCTAAGCTTGCAGGGGGCAGGGGGCAGGGCCTTGAGATCAAATTCGTCTGTGCCCCACTGTCTCTGTAAGGCTTGGCAAACATTTGCTTACCAAACATTTGCTCTTCCTATCCTCCTATGAATTTTCTTCCTTCCTTCTGAAACCCCAAACCCCACCCTCTTCTTCTCAGCTCAAAATGGCATATAAGCTTCAGTTGCCTGTCAGTGAGAGCCTCTCATTGTCTTTTTGGGGCTCCTGTAGTACATAATTAGATTTTTTCTTCCTGTTAATGTCTTACGCCAATTTAATTAACAGACCAGCCAAAAGACCCTAGAAGGGTAGAGGAAAGTTTTTCCTCCCTTACAATGTCATGGATGTTAGAAAACTCTATTAATTCCTTCGTTTGACTGAACAATGTTTTTTTCACACTGCTGCTGAGCTTTAGGAACATGACCTAATGGGGTTAAGTAACAATAGAGTAGTACAGGCCAGGGGTACAAAGAGGGAAGTTATATTACAATAGTTTTTCTCATATAGCATTTTGATTTTTCTGAAAATAGTAAAAGATCACTTAGCATATTGTTTGAAAGCTGAAATAGTCAAAGGTGAATAATTATAAAAGGGACACTGATGTTAATCCTATACACCTATACATCTTCTGTCTTTGCCAAAAAAAATGAACCCCATTATGACATACTAGAGTTTAGACAGAATAGGGAGGCCGTGATATTAAAATAGTCTCTTTAATAGTTATGGTTTGCTTTGGCAATATCTGTCATACTTTTTTTCAGGATAAAATTATATTTTGGTTAAAAAAACCCAAACACTAAAGATAAACTGAATTTATTTGTCTTGCTAACTAAAGAATGTCACTAGCACTAGCCATCCAGCTCTATAAGGACTGAGTTATTAGCCACTGCAGCCACTGACCTTTAATACACCCTGAAAGGAGTTCAGGGCAGAAATCAGGAATGAAGGCACTCTGTGTTCTGGGAAAACTGGCAGAACAAGTCTTCAGCTAGTTAGATATTTTCTGGAGAAAATTTTTATGAACCTGGATTCTTGTATCTTCCCATACTTAGAAAAGCACTAAAACCATTAACTAAGATATCTGTTCCTCCTCATGACTATGACTAGCTGCAACCTTCTACCGAGTTGTGAGATGTGCGCTTGGTTGTATGTATCCCACTTGGCAAATCCCCCCTTACCTCTTTGGAACAGTTTCTCAGAGCTATCTGAGAGTCTGTCTCCCAGGGAATAGTCCTCAGTAAGACAATGAATGAACTCAACTCGCAGCTTTTAAATTGCGTAGTTTTTTTTTTTTTTCAGTTGACACTTTGCACACCTCAGACACTTGATTTTTCTCTCAACGGATTTCAGACATTGGTGTTTAAAATATGCACAAAACTCTACAACAAGAATTACTTCTCCTGTACCTACATGAGTATGGAACAATGCAGTATGAAAGGTCATACCATTGTTTTCTCAGGGGCCAGAGGAAGAAAGCCAAATATAGGGTGCAATGGAATTACTCAACCTCCTCTCTTTTCTCTTCCTCTGCTATCTTAAGAACCCCCAAACTAAATGGATATAATGCAATCACTCTTTTCAATTATGCTTTTAATGCCTATTGACGTGCTTTATGTTCATCAGAAGAGAATAGAGAATCTGGTTCCATTCCAGGTTCTTAATCTTTCTGATAAGACAACCTCTTTGGCTGTGAGCATCAAGATTTAAGTGTATAGGACCCTTGTGTCAGCTTTCAGAGGGAAAATAGGCCATGGAGGAGATGAGATGATCCATGGTGCAGAAGGAGTGAAATGACATAAGGAAGGGCTCTCTCCAAATTTCCTGGAATTCTCAGTGTAGTGCTAGCTCTCTGTGAAATAGTCAGCTTCTTGGGTGTAGTCACCCAGCACCTTGAGTTTAGAAGTGCTCTGATGTTTAATGTTCTGTTGTCACTGTCTTGAAATTCTTAATAGTCTTCTTAACAAGGAACTCTACACTTTCCTTTTGCACTGGTCCCTGCAAATTATGTAGCCAGTCTTTCTGGTGAAGAAGAGTTTTGAAAGGAAGAAAGCCTTCTGGTGTTTGCAAAGACATGACACCCAGCTGGAATGGTATGTTCTGCTCTCTCTAAAGGATTGCACAGATATTCAACACCTAGAGGAGGACAACATCCCCCTTAAGGATTCAGTCTTCCTTCTCTATTTAGTAGCACATTCCCCTCCCCTTTTTAGCTGCATGCATGGCTTCCCAGTTAGAAATTATATTTCCAAACTCTCTTGCATTTAAGTGTATCCACGTGATTGCATTTGGACCATTGAGATGTGAATAGACATGTTTGCAATTTCAGGTTATTGCCTTAAAGACAAGCTAATTGTCCTAAAGGCAAAGGCAAAGAGCCCAAACTCTTTCCTTTTCCTTCTCATAGACCAAAAGGTAGATGGTGCTGGTGACCAGCTCTGACCATTCAGAGGATAACATGCTAGGGGAGGGCAGAGCAAAGAGTAGAAGGAACTTGGGTCCTTTCAAGACCTTCTGCATGAGAGCTCCTCTGCCAGCATGGATTACTCACCTTGGGTCAAGGACTTGCAAGAGGAATACATTTATATTCTGGGGTCTCTTTGTTATATTGGCTTGGCCTGTGCCCTAAGTAATGTACAGAAGAAATTCTTGGGGGCTGGTTCATAATAAATTTGTATTTATCCAGAATAATTGAATAATATAGTGTTCTGAGTATTTGAATATTCTACATACGGAAATTATTAGTTTGCATTAAAGTGATATAAAACTATATTGAACCTAATTTTATACTCAGTGAGCCTCAGAACACTGCTGGATCTTGCAGGACCTCAAGGTCATCACTGTGAATACTAATTACAGTGTATGTCTGTAGACGTTGGGTTTTAAGTAAATCTGTAATAACCTATGACAAACTCCTGAAGTTGCATTTCCAAAACAAATTCCTGAATCACTCTAGTTTCATTGTAATTTGTCTCAATACTGAAAGGATGACTACAGGGTGTTAAAAATAACTTTCATGGATTTTCTCATTGTCTGGAAACTGAATTTGGGCACTTGCAATACTTTTAAAAACAATAACATCATATATACAAAATAATTTTACTTCTCATTTAAAAAAATTTTTCAGTGACTAAAACTGCTAAGATTTAAAATAGTATGTTGATAAACCAGTTACAAAACCATTAAGGAATCGTAACTTCAAAAGTGTAGACTTTATGTTTACCTGCCCCAATGACTCTCTCAATGCGTATTCTTGAGGGATCGATCTCCTTTGCAAATTCATGGACTGCTAGGAATGGGTCTTCATATGTATCTGGATCTATGTAAGTTTTAATTCCTGGGAAGTGTACTGCAACAAAATAAAAGACTGAATTAGTTCAAGGGTATTCTAGTAATCATACATCTTGTGAATATTTGAAATGAGGAGTGACGTACTAAAGTAGTCATTCTTTTTTTTAACTGAACTATAAATGACTCACAATATTATGTTAGTTTCAGGTGTACAACATAGTGATTCGATACTTTTATACATTACAAAATGATCACCACCATAAGTCTAGTTACCACCTGCCACCATACAAAGCTTTTAAAATTTTATTGACTATGTTCCCTGTACTGTACATTACATATCCATGACTTATTTAATGACTGGAAGTTTGTACCTCTTATCTATCGGATAATTGCTTTACAATGTTGTGTTAGTTTCTGCTGTACAACAAAGTGAATCAGCCATATGCATACATATATGTGTTTTTGTTTTCTTCAGGAAAATATCCAGAATTGGAATTGTTGGATTGCATAGTAGTTCTATTTTTACTTTTTCGAGGAACCTCCATACTGGTTTTCAAAGTGGCTGTACCAATTTACATTCCTGCCAACAGTGCATGAGGGTTTCCTCTTCTCCACGCCCTTGCCAACACTTGTACTTTGTTGTCTCTTTGATAATAACCATTCTGACATGTGTGAGGTGATACCTCATTGTGGGTTTGATTTTCATTTCCTTGATGATTAGTGATGTTGAGCATCTTTTCATGTGTCTATTGCCCATCTGTATGTCTTCTTTAGAAAAATGTCTCTTTAGCTCCTCTGCCCATTTATTAATCGGGTTGTTTGTTTTTATGATGTAAGCATTCTTGTTACTTAAATTCAATTCTCTTTTCTATTTTTGTCTCCCCCCCCCACCCACTTGCCACCCCCATTAAAGCTTTGAATTCTTGGACTCAAAATTTTATTTACCTAACTCTCGATGTAAAATGACCTGGTAATTTCAGAGAGAGTGAGCTGACAAGTTCCATAAGACACATTTTTATTATATTTCTGTAAAATGCTTAATCAGCTCACTTAGCCACTAGTACCCATATATTTTACATTTGATCTAGCTCAGGACATGGGGGAAACAAAGCATAAACCTTCTCCCCCTCCAAAAAAAAAAAAAGCCCCTTAGAGTCCCTCCTGGATCTTTGTACTCTAAGGCACTAGGTTTTCCTGAACTCATGTCCCAGTCCTGTGGTCTCTCCCCTTCCAGAAACTCTTAGGCAGTAAAGCACAGACTCCATGGCACAGTGACAGGGAGGACCACTACACTGTGGAAACGGCCCTGTCCTGTGTTCTTGTAGTTGCTTCCATGGCCAAATTGCACATTGTCCTGAAAAGGACCCACTGTCTACCCTGGAGGGGAGGATAAGAATCAAAGGTCCAAATCTGGTCACTGACCAGATGTAGCTGCTCCTCTTGCCCTGGTGGGTGCTCACAGCCCACAGGCAGTTAGGAAGATGAATAGGGGTGGCTAGAAAATTGGATGTCTGGCTGCATATTAATTTGCAACTCCTTCAGTATGTAAAGCAGTCACAGACTGCCTGTGGATATTCCTCTGTTTTGCTCACTGGTTTCTGTTTTCCACATCAGGTTTCTAGCTCCTGGAGGACAGGAGATCATTTCTTATACATCTTTGCACCTTTCCAAATACCTTGGGTGTAGTTTTATAGGCAATAAACATACAGCAAACCTTTACTGAATACGAATTAGTAAGGATTAAAAGATAAATGCTAAATTTGTGGCAGAGTAAATTATATCTGTTTTTGTTGCTTCTTAGATTTTGAAAACCATACAACACCCTGAATTAAGCATTGCCTAGGTCTCCTTAGAAACATGCTCTTGCAAGAATATCTCAAAAGCAAACAAACAAAAGGCAATAAAATGAGTTTAGAGGAGGCGATGAAATGCCCATTATTAACAATAATTTGCTTCATGAGTTCTTCTATGCCTGTTGTCTTCTTTCATTACTTTTTGCCTCCTGTCTTCTAGTACTGGATTTGAGTACTAGAAGTACTCCTGAAAGAGCTCCAGTAAATCATATTTCTCGATAGATTTGAATGATTCTGAAATGCTATGCTTTTCTTGACTTCTCTAACTCAAGAATTTGACTTTAGATTGGAGGAAACAAGAACAGATCATTTGTACCTCTAGTTCATATTCTTCAGGATATCTTTGTAACAGTAGGAGTTGTGATTTCAGATTGAATGCTAGAAGCTCAAAGGCTACTATGAGATGATTAGTAGTATCATATTGATAACATTACTTTATGCACAGGTAACAGATGCCATTTATTAACTCATACATGGTTTTAACATTTAACCATTCAATAATTTAAAGTGATATACATTCTACAGAATAAACTGATTAGTTAGTATCACTTTTTTTTTTTTTTTTTTTACAATATATGTAGTATAGGAAAAAAAAAACCCAAACTTAGTTTCAATTTTGAATATCTGGTTACTACTTATTCGTGTCTTCTTAAACATCTGTTTGTTATCTTTCTTCTATTGTACCTGGCTGCCTCAGGTTATTTTCATTGCTTCTTGCTGGGCCCATCTGGTTTAGTTTATGCTAAACTGCTAGTTGAAAAACAGGTAATAAATACCTCAGGGGCATCTTTTTCTTTTGCAATTCAGTACTGAATTCACTGCAGTGAATCTTAGGGTTGCTCAGCTTAAGTCATTGGTCCAGGTGTCTAGATCCAGGTTTCTGCCTCTGTCTACATTATTTTCAGCTCATCCTTTGCCTGGTATCAGCTGTCTCGGCTCTCCCTTCTCTGCCAGGGCAGTGACCCTAAAACTCTTTGTGAAAAGAACCACCTAGGAGAGCTTCCTGAAAATGCTATGTCTTAGCCCTACCCTGGACCTTCTGAGTCTGAACTTTGGTGAGTAAGGGTGAAACATTCTAATGCAGCTTGTCCTCAGACCTCTCTCTGAGAAATCATATGAGCCTTAAAAACAGCCCTAAAGCATCCCTCTAGTTTATAATTTCCTCACTTAAATCCTTTCCGTTAGCTGGAGGGTAATATAGATCGAAAAGTCCCTTATAACTTGAGCTCAATGTGAAATAGAAGATGAGTTTAAATAGTTAAACAACTTGCCTCACATATTATCTCTATACTGTGGTTAGAGAACATCCCTTTCTTGCTAATTCAGCGTCTCATGCCAGAGAATCTGTCTTGACAAAGTAGTTTGCAATTTGGAGGTGAAGGTGGGTGTTGGGGAGGAGATGGTGGCAATTATCAAACCAACTATAGTGGTAATTATAGCTTGCTTGGGAAGAGATCCTTCAAATGAATATAACCTTGTAGTCAGCTCAAGGATTTCATACATATTCTAAGAGTTAAAGAGCTGATTTTCTTTTTTAGTGTTAATGAATTGTAAATTGATTTGTTATATGTTAAATGACAGTCCCTGTAAGAGGGAATAAGAATTCCTTAATATTTCTATGGCTAATGCTCCACTAAATAAAACCAACTAATGTTTTGGAGCCATTGTGAATGGTAAATAACTAGATATAATCAGTCATCTTATAATTTTAGCATATTCAATCTGTTGTGTTTTCCAGCAAGCAGAATTAAGAAAAAGGTAATATTATTTAATGAGAAGCAGGTGCAATTTCCACCAGCAAACCTAGAAACCAGATGAAAAGTCTTAATGCTGAAAGATTGGAACTGAATTTCTTTGGCTTTCACAATTCATGGATACAAGTTTAAAATGAACTCTTGAAGTGCTGGAACAGTAGAAAATCATGAAAGACAGTCACTGAACTACTTACAATGCCCATTCTGTAAGTCCTTTCTTCTCTTCTCTTCTGACTTCATTTTGGCCTTTATATACCATTGACATCTTTAAAAAAGGTAAACAGAATCTTATTTTAGTAATTATGCAGGATAAGAACCAATATTAATTAAAAAACTTATCACCCATAGGCAAAAGTTATCATAAAGACCACTTTTAAGAACATATTTATAACATGTGAAAATACACCATAGAAGGTTTTTTTTTAATACATCAAAATTAGCCCCAGATAGGAATAAAATACTCTCAAGTGGATTGATTGATCCAAATAATAGGAAGCTTAGATAATATTTAATAACAAGCAATAACCATCATGTCTTTCCTTATATGGTCTCTAATAGCTAGAGTCAATGAACTGCATTAAAAGTCACAATGGAAAAATTGTTTTTGATTCAGAATCTCAGAAATTTAGACAACTGTCTTCCAGTTTCAGTGCTAAACCACATTTTTTTTTTTTTAATATTAGAAATGTGGTGGAGGCATGTTCTGTTCTTTCTCGGAAGAATCACGCTCTGAAGAACAGGCAGGTGCTTATCTCCTATGACTTCTTCAACATGAAAAATTCGGCAACATCCATATTATCTGACAGCTCATCAAGTTGCTAATTCCAAATGGTTAAACAGAATACATCTGTGGTGCACAACCCAATCTTTCAGTGTGAATTTGGTCTCAGATCCTATGACAAATTGCATATTTATTCAGATACGTCTTACAATTTTCATAGAATAATTTCTAGTGAATGCTCCCCTAGCATAGTGCTTAAAAGATGCTCCAGAATGAATTATTTTATCTTATGTAATTGAACTTGTTTTTTTCCAGTATGTAGAATGTTAAGGCAATTTCTGATGTCACATAAATTGGCAAACATGGAAACTGTACTAAATTATTTTCAACTTTCAATTTTTTTGATTATTAAATCTTTTTAAAAATGGTATTCAAATTCTGCTTCAGGAATCCCAAATAAAGATAACAGTCGAGCCCAAATCTCAGGTTTATTAGGCCAATTTTATTTAGCCTACAATGACTGTAGTCTTCTTTTGTCATATTTATGTGTAAAGGCAGTATTTTCTGATATTTTAATGAAATGTTTTTCTACATGTGTGTGTGCTATTTAAATCACTGTTTGCTGAAATACTCTGTGAGGAAATAAGGCCTTAGCTCATGTTCTACAAAAACATAAAATATAACTTAAAAATCAGAACCAATTTTGCTACATGTTGAATCACTATTAAATAAAATAGCATTTGAATCAATTTCCATTATGAACTTAGAGGCATTCTTTAAAATTGACAATAAATATGACACTGCTATTAAAATGAACTCTGAGACACTATTAATTGCAAGAGTCATGCTATGTCTATTAATACACCTGAAAATTTTAAGTGAACATAGGGGTAAATGTGCCCCTTTTACAATTAATTTCATAAGGAAGTCAGCATTTCAACTTAACCACATTAGAATATCCTCATGTTTCTTTGTTCCTTGATAAATCCTATAATGTGGATTTGTTATAACTAAATCTGATACACTCTTTTAACAGGCAGCAGTTACATTTCCTCAGGGACCCACACTTGATAAGTGTCTAAGTAATTGTCAATTTATTGATCTATACTTCTAGTCTGCTGTCAAATTTTCAGATATTTTTTCATATATGCATATCCTCTATAAGTCTGTAATGATTTTTAACAAAATATTGGTATGTAAGAGTTTTAAAAATGAATAAAACAAAGGGTGTTCATAGTTGCTGAACTACTGGCTCTGAAGGTAATTTCTGGGCATCATCAAATAATCAGGGTTTCCCAGTAGAGCTGGTGTACTTTAGCTGGAGTCAGTAAGGATGAGTATTGTTTCACTGGCATTTTTATTACAGTTTTAAATCATGACACTGATATTTTGCTGTATCAGGAAAACTCTCAAGGTATTTTGTGCCACTATTGATAATCTAGATGGAATATTTTCCCCTTGTAGGAGTGAAAATATGATCTGAAGACTTCACAATTTCTGCCAAAAGTCTGGGCCAAATATCAAAGGCTCAATAAGAAATGACACTTATTCTTTTAAATAATTTCATACACATTATCTTCATTCACATCTCTGCATTGTAACTGGCTCATGGAAACAATCTAATATGTTTAAAAATCAATAAAGCATTTTAATGCTTTGTGATACCAAACTGTGTAAAAATAGAAATCTAAGGTTTAGATGGATGAAGCACTTTGACCAGCTAGTTGTGATTCAAGTCTAGGTCTTTTGCTACATTAAATTTATTGTTATTTTAAATTTTCATCCATATTACTCTTAGGCGGAAAAATAACTTGATTTATACAACCATTAATATAGTTCTAATATAGATCCTTTCAATATTTAATGGTAGAATAAAACATTTCTATAATATTAAGTTTATAAAGCACTTTATATATATTGTTCAGTTTCTCTGTTGAATTATTTTTTTTCCAAGCAAAATCCCTTTAATGGTATAATTTGATTGCAGTAAAGGAAAAACCCAGACATAACTTGTTAAGTAGGATTTTATCACTCATTGTTTTCAAAGTGTTTTTATCAAGTCTTCAGTTGCTTCCATATTCAGGGAACTGTTGACACAGAGAACTTGCCATGGTGGTTCTATTGCCACATAGAGTTCACTGTCAGAGTGGAATCTGCCTTGACCCCTTTTTCTCACACGTATACTTTGCTAAGTTTAAAAGCCCCTGAACACACAGTGTATAAGAAGAATGGTTATTCACAAATCTTGGAAATACTCTGGTATAATTCAGTTACCTTCCAGTGATTAAGAAGAACAAAGTAAGAATGACGAGGAGAGTGAATCCTCCCACGGCCGCGGTGGCTATCACGAGAATCTGCCCCTGTTCTGCTGCCATGTCAGAAGCTGAAACACAGGTACGATATTAGCATTTCCCTGGGTGACGTTTCACTACCAAATTGTTTTACAACTTAGTATATGCTTGAAAATATGGTAATGCATACCAAAAAATCCCACCACATTTGCCCTTTATTTGGCACACAAGATGCAAACTCCAAATGAGGGCTGAAGACCGAGGTCATAACCCACCACATAACCCTTTCTTCTTTTTTGCAAAAATACCAAGAAAGCAGATGGATTCCTAGTACCCCTCATTTTAAGATTAAGTAGGTTTTGCAAAATTAAATCAGCAGACGCACCAAAGGATTTTGTTTATATAATTGCTCAATTATTTACCTGAACACTTTTGCCAACTGTTGGGCTACACCCTGCAGGCCTGCAAACCTTGTAATTGCCCAGGTGAGAGACAAAAGAAAGAGCCAGAAGACAGTGACAGACAGCGATGGTTTATTGGTTAGGGATTCTTACAAGTCTGTAAGTCCTGGAGCGACACCCCATTGTGGACAGAAGAGGACAGGACACAGTAGCAGTCTTCACTATAGAGGTGGGGTGGTGCTACCATTTATAGGGGGAATTGACTTCAGGTTGGCTCATCAGTTACCAGGGAAACCAGCGGCTGGTACAGGTGGCAAGCATGTAGGCAGTTACTGATTAAACCCTATAATTAAGAGGATTGTATAGTCATGTGAGTAGGGTGTAGGTGAAGCATGGGCTGGTCAAGCAGTGGGTGGACAGAGAGTAAGAGGAGAGCCATCTTGAGTGGCCTGACCATCCACCAACAGACCAGGCTTTACAGACTGTTTTGATGTCTGTTTTCACAAAGTGAAAAGGCTATTATTGCACAATTTAAGAACAAACTTCTTTATATTTCATAGAGCTTAATTCAAACATCAAAGTTATGAATTCCCACCTCTAGAGCACAAGGGTATACATAGTAGTTGTTTAGATGTTTGACTAGCAGTCATTTAAAAAATGACATTTAAAAGCTTCCTTGTTTCAGGAAAAGTATAGATTATGTATGATAACAGCATATTACTTCTCTCATTTACAAAACTGTATCAAAACTGCAAGGGCTGCAAGTTTCACTAACCTCCCAGGAATCTTTTAAAATATTTTAGTTCAATTAATTCATTAGCACTTTTCCTTCTCTGTATTACTGAAGTTTTAATGAGATACAATTTTATTGGACGGCATATGGGTAATTGCTTAATAATAGAAGTAAGGAAACTGAAGCTCAGTGAAGTTAAAGAACTTGATCCAGCTCACGCATGACTATCACCAGAATTCAGGTTTTACATATTTGTTTCATTTCTCCTTCCTATGCTACAACTTGCAATAATAATTCAGTTAATTATCAATATTCTAAAACATTAAATCAATCAGTGCCTCCAATATCCCTTAACTTAAATAAAGCTTGATTTTTATTCAGATTACTATAAAAAATGATTAATCAGTTGAAAGCAGCGAACTGAATCAAACAAAGAATATAACTGAAAAGCAAACTGCTTAATTCTCTACCATAATAATTTAAATTTATTAAACCTGGGTACTTTCCGTAGAAGTAGATCTTTTTCTGGGAATCAAGTACGGGGTAAACTATGTGCAAATCATAGCCAGAGTAATAACTTTCTCATAAAAATGACATATCTACTAGAGAATATCTAAACCTTAAATGCTACTGTTGTGTCAGTAAGAAACCAGTCAAGCATTTAGGAGGCTTTTTAAGAAATCTAAATGTAAATAAAAACAAAAGTCATTTATGTTCAGGTTTTAGTAAGAAATTTACTAAACCTTGGAATTAGACCTTAGTCACTATGATTTAATCAAGATATTTTCAGGCAATCTATTTCAGTGTTGAGTTGTAGCTCACAATCTGTGTAGAGACAAGTTAAATAGTTGAATCTTATCCAATAAATAATGTACTGAAGGTATTTTATTAGGTCCTCACTGGATTTCCTAATCTTCAAAATAACACTGGTACCATGGGAATTAATGTGTGCTTTAAAATGTCACATTTTCTCATTGAAAATTATTGAATAAAAAATTGTATGGAGTAGATGTTATAGAAAACATTAACTTTTTGAAGATAAAGGAGGTAGCATTTAAAAAGAAAACATTATTTACTTACCAACTGGTGTATTTGTAAAATATATAGTTCAAGAGTTTTAAACCTAGAGCATGTATTTTCATGGTAGCCAGGTAGCAAGTGATTTATTGACACCATGTATTTAAAGTTCAGATGGTGGAGATGATTATGTAATTGGGTGCCTTTGGAAAATCAGATTACCTCATTATAGAAAATTGTGTTGTTTAATTTAAATAATTGCTCAGTAAAATGCCAGTACTACTAATATATCTTCTTTTTCACCCTTGTGATTACATATTTATGAACTTTGCTTCAATTAAAACTTTAATAGGATAACAGTATTAAGATGTGACACTTTGAAAAATGTATATTTCTGCATAATTGTTTCTTAAACATCTGTATTAGGAATTCTAAACACTCCTCTGTGGAGAATATTATATATATATGCACACATATATATATTTGAAAATAAGTCATTTGAAAATAAGAGTATATAATGTGATGTACTATTATACTGATAGTAAAATTCTCTGGATCATGGGGCTGGGTTGATTATGAAAACATTATGAATCTCATCATCATCAACAATAGCCATATGTACTCAATAGTAAATTATCCTCTAGCAGTATGCTTAGTGCTTCAAATTCATTATCAAATTTATCTGCACAACATCTTAATAGGTAGGTGCTATTATTATTCCTAGTTTAAGTGGTTATATTACTTGCCTAAGGTCACACATCTTGTACACAAGAAAGCTGGCCACCCAACCCTGATTTATCAATCTCCAAGTCCATACTATTGCCACTATTTTGCACCACCATTTATACTAACAGAACAACTGGCTTGGGGCTCTTCTGTGTGTTCTAGAACTATCATAGCCTTGCTTAACCTTGGTTTCATGTCTGTAAAAACGAGAATGTTGAATAAATATTCTTAACACAATCCTTCAGAGCAATTTTACTATGATATTGTGTTATTCACTAAGGCTGCAATCAAATACTGGGAAGAACAAGATTTGCCATATGGAAATAAGAGGAATTCATAGGACCTGTGCTTCAGCTCTTGGTCTGGATAGGGATAATTTCTGCCTTTTTATCATATTAATGTAGCCAAACACAGGGCTCTGACTTTATCTCAGGATAAAGTCCAAAGCCCTTAACTTTGTTAACAAGGGTCTCTACAAATGGCTCTAGCATATATCTCCAGATTCACCTCTCATCATTCTCTAACCATGCTAAATTTCTGACAGTTCCTTCAATGCGCTGGACTTTCATGGTCAATTCCTAATCAATCCTCCTACATGAATATCACATCATTTTCTGGTTGTTTAGATTTTGTTAGGTCCCTAGATATATGTTCCCATAGACCCTTGTACTACTTTTATCCATAAATTTCTATCATGTTTTGTCCTTCTGTTAGATTGCAAATTCTATTACAGGGACTTTATTCACTATAGTATCTATAATATATTGAATGAAGACACCCTCCCCTCCTCACCCTCCCCCAAAAGGAATTTGTAGGTGTAACTGAGGACCTCAATCATCCTGGATCAACTGGGTGGGCCCAAATCCATGAAAAGGGTCCTTATAAGAGATAGGAGAAGAGAAAATAAAGAGGAGAAGGCCAGAGACAGAGACTAGAGTTATGCAGCCACAAGCCAAGGAATGCCTGGAGCCACCAGACAGCGGGAGAGGCAAGGAAGGATTCTCTCCTAGAGCCTTAGGGGAGAATATGCTTCTGCTTCTGGCTTCCATAACTGTGAGAGAATGAATTTGTTGTTTTAAGCCACTATGTGTGGTAATTTGTTATAGTAACCCTAGGAAACTAATACAGTATTTGACCTACAGAGCTTGATACATGGTAGTAGCTCAATAAATATTTGTTTGTGTGAATGGATTGAATGATTGTGTGCATTGGATGATTCTCATATAAAACAGGTCAGATTAACCTAGGGTAATCCATATTCTTGCCTTCCACTTGGTATGTAGAGATTTACCTTGAAGGTAGTAACGTTATGTATATGAAGCAAGTCTATCCAACACTATTTTAATCAGAAGACTCTAATTATTCTGTATTATTGGAGATAATGCTTCCTGGAAGGCAGGGACTACTAGAAAGCACAGACTTCTATATTTGATCAAGTTGAGTAGATTAAGTTTATAAATGTGAATCCAAGGTTAAGAATTTATTAGTTCATTCAATAAATGTTTATTGAGCACCTATTACATGGCAGGCACTGAGACGGACTCTAGGGATACAGTGGTAAACAATAAAGACTGTCCTCCTGGATTTACCATCCAGTGGGGAAGATAAACAATGAGCAAATAATTACGAGTCTACGAACTGTTACAAAAGAGAAACTGTAAGGTGCTCTGGAAGAGAATAAACAGCCTTTGACGGTGAGTCAGCAGAGTGGGAGTTTGGAAATACGATGTGTTGGAAGAAGGAGGAGGAGGGGAAGGAAAAGGAATAGGAGGAGGGAGACAGTGAGGAGTTGTTCCTTGTTTAGAGGTCTCAAAGACTTGATTAATGTAAACAGACACTTCGACAAATAAACCATAAAATCATCTACCAAGTGGATCCCATAAAAATAAGTATAGCTACAAATTCCTCTGTTGTGAAAACTTGTCTATAGTACCACCTATTCATGTTTTCAATCCTGAGAAGAAGCTTGCTTATTTCTAATTAGTTTTGTAGGAAAAATGTGTGTGCACAGCAAACCTGTCTTTCAGAAGTAACACAATAAGAAACACAATAATCTATGGTAAGAAATAAAATTTAATTGTGGCTAGGTGATTGGGAATGTTCCTTTGCTTAATGGAATGAGGTTGTAGTCTTAGAAAAAGATAAATATATTAAAATGATATATTTCATTCTATGGTTTGGAAAGAAGCATACTTCCTTAAGAGGAAGCAATTAC